GGGACATTGCATTGATGATAAGCTGAATTTCACTGCAGCCATGTGTTTTCTTTGGTTTCTTTTATGTTTTAACATTGAGTATCAGGAGTCAACCAATGCCACAGAGATCATTAAAAGCTATGCATAAGATATGGATGAAATGCATTTAAAGGCAAAAATATTCACACAGAGCAAAGAAATTGTCATAATAATTCTTATAACTTTGTTTATGTTTCTATAATTAGTCTAATTTGCCTAATTTAACCTATAGTTCAGCTTTTAAATTGCACTTTCAACTGAATATTAGTATTTTGCTAAATGACTAGTAAAAATGTGTTATTTAAAATAAAAATCTTAAACAGCACGTACATACATGTTTGCAGAGACTCAATGAATTTGTTTGGAAAACTTCAATTAAAGTAAGTAAAAGTGGCATTAACAGTATAGTATAAAGGCTGTCCTAAATAAATGTATAAATCATGTAATTTTTGTGTTTTTTTATTATTACTACAGATTTGGAACGACATGAGGATTAGATTATTTATTATAATTTTTTTCCTATGGATGAAGTTTGCATATTTTAATTGTTTTTGTGCATAATTGTGATAAATGTAGGCAGTTGCTTTGAAAATATGCTATGCTCCAGGGGTGTCAAACTACTAGAGGGCTGCAGCCCAGCAGAATTTAGTTCCAGCCCTGCTTCAACACACTACCTTTAGATTTAGTTTGATCAGGTGTGCTTAATTAGGGTTAAAGCTTAACTGCACTCTTACCCTGTAGATTATGCAGTAAATAATTGCAAAATAGTCAGTGTTTTGCTGTAATGAAAGGAAAAAGTATTTTACTGTAAAAGGAGTAGAGTTTGTATAAAATTGTGTAATGCAAAGGATAAATTACAGTAATTTACTTTATGTACTGTGACAATAAATGGCAAATTACTGTTCAACCATTACTGTCCCATTTACTCTGATGCTTTATGTTGCTGTTTATAGAAACGTGCATTTTAAAGGCAGAAGTTAATGATTTAGGCCTCACCACACTCCCACAGGCTGTCTTATTCTAAACACAAAGCTATTAGAAAAAGTTTTCAGAAAATGCTGGCCCTTTAAGGGAGCTAGGTGTTTGATTTGTTTACTGCTGATTGCGCGCTATTCTCTGTCTATCAATTCAGATGTAGAGTCTGATGTTTTAGGCTTTAAATAAGAATCTACAGTGAGTAGGTAAATTGTGTCAAAATGTTTTTGAGGGTTTCTAAAATAAGGCTGTGTTTTAAGTTATATTGTTGTTATCTTGAACTGTGTACTTGAAAGCTACATTGTTAGCCTCTCCTCGCTTTTAAGTATATTTATTTATTGGATATTGCATATTGCAATAATGTACAGATGCTAAAAGTTTATGCACATAAAAAACAAAAATTCCATCACCTCAGTAAGGTAACATGTACACAGAAATCAACACAGGGAATCACAAAAAATATGATACAAATAACTATCCACACACAAAAGCTCCACTGTCAGGTCCCAGGTTGTGAGTTTGTTGCTAAGTATTTTTCAGAGCTGTGTTTCCACCTATGAATTTATATTAGAAACAATAGAAAAGTTTGTGGTCATGAGATTTTAAAGTAGATAATAATTATAACAATAAAAGATTGGATCCTTTGGATTTTTGGTGTTGCCGACTTTGTTTTAGTTTTTTATAATTATTTTAAACTTTTTATTGAGAATTGACACAATATCTGCCTGTGTTTGACAAACATGTTTATATATATATACATACATATATATACATATATATACACATATATATATATATATATATATATATATATATATATATATATATATATATATATATATATATATAAAGAGTAAGTGTGTGTTCTTTTCATATGCTTATTTTTTAATTATTTGAAACTTTAAAAAATAAAATAAATATTTTGTGTATTTTGCTGTTTAGTTTTTTTTGCATGGTCAGCATTGAGGAGACAGAAACACATTTTACTGCAGCACTTTCTGTGTGTGTGTGTGTGTGTGTGTGTGTGCGCGTGTGTGTTAGTTCACACCCTGCTTCAACATTACCTGTAGATTTCTAACAAGCCTTAATTAGTTTGAGCAGGTGTGTTCAATTAGAGGTACAGCTTAAAGTTCCAGTCACACTGCTCTTTTCTCCCCTTAGACTTCCATTCATACGCATGTGAATGCTGCAGACCTGGAATGCTAGCTCATGTGAAAAATTTCACTGTTCGTAGCATTGGAAAGTTCAAACTTGGAGATCTCTGACCTGCGAAATCACATCATGTGATTGCTTGAGACCAATCAAAGATCAAAACATGACCTGTCTGAACAAAAATGTAAACTATGGACCAGTCGCTTGCTTTTTCAATCTCTAATTATTTTGTTTAATCCCACTTCTTTTCGCAGTGCCGTATGACAGAATTTTGCATGCTCAAACGTTAGTGTGACCGCAGCCTTACTGTGCAGACCTGTAATATGTAAGAAGATATTTATATCTGCTGATTTCTTAATTTTGTTATACATTTTATGTTGTATATTTGTTTGCAGCCAAAACAATAAAATACATTTGTCTAAATTTTTATGCCTTCTATTTTTAATAACAGATAAGAATACTAATTAATTTTAGTAAGACTATGACATACTATTAATGTGTATGCAGTATAATGCTGTGAGTTGTAACAGTACAGTAATTAACTGTACACAGTTTCCTGTTAGTTACCACTACTGCTCTATTAAAGTAATTAACTGGCAACACTGTTGCCTGCTACTCACTGTAATGGTTCGGTTACAGTAAATAACTGGCAACACTGTTGCCAGCCACTCACTGTAATGGTTCAGTTACAGTAATTAAATGGCAACACTGTTGCCAGTTACTTACTGTAACCAAAATTTTACAGTGAGTAACTGGCAACAGTGTTGCCAGTATTCTACTGTTAAAAACGCCCGGTAAGGTCTAACAGTGTAGGGTTAAGGGCGGGGTTAGGTGAGCCCATTAAAAAGCATTGGATGCAGCCCAGATTGCACAGCACCAGGTCTGCATCCAGACCCCTCTCGAATTACCAACCTACGTCACACATGACGTCAAACTGGTTCAACCACACATAGCAGTTGCAAAAATAGACCGGTTGAAATAGTAAAAATGTTGTGTTGTGCGGAATGATGCCAAATTTGAAAGTCTAAAAATAGAAAACTTAAATTTCACCGTACACCACACTGCTTTTAATGCCAACCGCAGACGTCTTTGGCTAACAGCCATCATAAGAGCTAAATGGAGTGAGGACCTAATTAAAAATGCTGGACTCTGCAGTTTCATATGAGGTAAGTTCACGCTATGCTGTACCACACACATTACTCGTTTTTGATTGCAGCAATGATTTTAGCAAAAACAGTTAATATGATTAATTAAACTGCAGACACTAAATGCTTAGAATGAAACGTAAAAATGTAAGTTCACATACCCTGTCGTACAGGTGCAGTTTGCTGTCAGAATGCAGTAGTTTTGCTTGTTGATGATTACCCAGGCCTTGTACAGTTCCGTCTTCTTTCCTTGTCTTTGGCTAGGGAGAACCTCAGTTTTTAGCACTAAAAAATTTTTAATCTGGTGATCATGGAACATTATATCTTGCACATGACCACACATAACAGATCTGTTGGCCTTCAAAGACTTGTAGGCCTTTAACTTCTCTCTTGTACAATCACTTGGAGTTTTAATGAAATAGTTGTATATTTGGGGCTGGATGCTTGGCCATTTCATCTTATCCAATATCCATTGTGGGGTGCTATCGCAAACGGACCTGTCAGATGAACGCCGCTCATTTTAACGTTAATTTTGCCAAATAACTGTGGTGGCAAGCTGTTATAATACGCAGAAAGCATTATGTAATTAATATATAACATGTAACCAATATAACTTATCTATAATACAACAGTAAACTCTGTACCGCATCGGATGTCATTCCCTTGCTGTAAATGCTAGCACTTCTAGAGTTTTTTTTCTGCAACCTCAATGCGCGCGCATCCTGAATGTTTACAAAATGGTAATTCACCGATAGTGTAGTAATGTGCAGAGCTTCATTTACAATAGACATCCTTAAAGGCAAATTTTGAACAATATTTAGATTTTTTTAACGCAGATTTTTGAATAGTTGCATCACTGCTAAATAATGTCCAATCCTAAGAAAGTACATATCAATCAAAAGCAAAAGCCTGTTTATTTATAAAGCTAACAAACTGACGTATATGCTGTATGCTTCGTGGTCCAAGGTCACAAATGTAAAACTCTGTTTTGCTATTTGAAAAGGTTGTTTTCAAAGCAGTTTCAACCCATTTGGTTTGTTATATGCGCAACTGATTTCAGTTTTAGTCAGCTTATATGATTTTTGATCACTAAAATCTTACTCACCCCCAAATGAGTCATTCCGTGATTTCCTTTTCGACACGTGCAGCTTATTTTGTAATTCCTTTGGCGACATCTGCTGGTGGTGTAGTGCGTTGAAATTTTACCGTCACTAAATGTAATCAAATCAATATGAATATCCATATAAAAATTCGCATCTTAGCTGTTGTATCAATTTCTGTGAAATAATTATTATTTTAGTTTCTATTATTTATTAAAGTAAAACAAAGATTATCAATGATGAACAGATGATGACCAATGGATGTTTTTTGTCTGTTGGACGTCTTAAGTTTTAGTAAAATGTAAAAATACATTGTACTGATATATAAAAATTAAACATAAAGGTTAAAATTTAAAGATTCCTGCTACTTTTTTTTTCAAAACTGACAATAATAAAAGCACCAGATCATCTAAAGCACCAAATGACACTGTATGGCGGTGATGAAATATTCAGCTATTATCCCCTGAAATAGATTAGCTTCTATTACCTTAAATATGTATTAACATAAAGTCTTTTAACATAAATCATAATTCTGCGTCACAAGTCACACTATCGAAAGGCGGCAGTGAGCGTGCGCGTTCGTGGACGTGGCAGTGACGTCGCGCACACCGGAAGCGGTCAGGACTGGAAGTGAAACCCCGACCTCCGTAAGATCGACTAGCCGGGAATACTGGAAAAAACGACGAAATGACACAATAACCGTGAGTAAACGCTTATAACTAATGTCAGGAATGTATTACCTTGTGGTCAATGTTCATTTTGCGTTATTACAGTTTAATATAAGACAGATATTGTCGAGTTGTGGGCCAATTAGCGCTCAGTGAACTGCGTACTGCTTGGCTGAAGACGATATCAGTTACTATGCAGACATAAACAACCCTTTAGAGACACATCTAGTCTTTATAATATAAAGGTATGTCATCGATCGACTACAACGAATTTTTGATCGGTGTTATTCCAGGTCTTTCTGTGAAGCCAGAATATTCTAGGTGGCCTATAATCCGATAACATGTGAGTTGAGTTTACTGACTGATGCTCTGGTTATTGTCGACGTCATCTATTGAGTTTACTTAAAAATTTCATATAGAAATGGCAACATGTAGTGTTGCCATATAATAAAGAGAACAGTATGGCAGCAGATCTTCTCTGTCAAGTAGTTTTGGATGTGGGAGTGACGTCCATATAGAAGTGTTTGCCTACTTAAATGACCTGTTAAAACCATGCTAAAGTGATAGTTCGCTCAAAAAATGAAAGTGTATTAACTATTTAGTCACTCTGAGATGGTGTTAAACCTTAATGAGTTTATTTTGAGCACAAAAGAAGATATTTTTAAGTAATCTGAAAACCTGTAACCATTGACTTCCATAGTGGAAAAAACAAATACTATGGAAGTCATTGGTTACAGGTTTCCAGTTTTCTCATTTGTATTAAAAAAAAACTCATTGGCTTGAAAGAAGTGAAGGAAGAGTAAATGATAATAAGTTTCATTTTTGTGTGAACTTTCCCTTTAAGGCTTATTGGGGTAAAGTTTAGAGCTGTATGATATTGGAAAAATCTATGGATGCACCGATACCATTTTTTGGAACCGATCCGATCTCGATACCATAATTTTGAGAATCGACTGATACAGATTCGATCTTGATACTATGTCGTGTTTTTTATTCTTTTTTTTCATTTACATAATACAGTTTGTAAAGCTCTGGTGATAAACTCAAATAATATATCTTCTTAAGTAGAAATAACACACCTATAGGCCTACTGTAGCAGACTAAACTAAACTATCTGAGGCCAGTTTTACTTACATTTTACATTCTCTCTCGCCTAAACTCAAGATGGAGAAACTGAAAGCATGTCTGAAATTGTTTTTTGTCCAACAAATATTTTTTTTTTAACTAATTTCTTTTGGTATAATGTGTTGGTTAATTTAATGTATTCTTGTTGGTCAGTTATCTTCAAAATAAACAAGAATATTTAAGGTGAAGTTCAAAACAAGGACCGCATGTATTAATGTATTATTATGCCTTTTCTCATTTAAAGTTTCAGATAGGTCTACTTTGTGTGAAGAGCAGGTAATAACCCTCTCTACTCCAGTGTTGTATATGCGATCTGCTGGTCTAACTGACACAGCGTAACATGATTAAAAAACAGCAATGATCTCCATGTTACAGGTCAAAATGAACCCAATTAATGCAAAACTAAATGCATTTCTCCACCGACTACTTACATTAACAGGAACAAATAGTCTTGGAGAGTTTTTCGTGTTGTCATGAGCAAGACACACAATTTAAATTGTGAATGATTGACGGGCACATTGGCGGGAAGCGCTGAACTGAACATGAATTTGCCCACTTAAATATTCATCTGTGCCTTACATTAAACTGTATAATGGCTTCAAAACATTTATGATATAGTAGGCCTACATGACAACTTTCTAGTGCCTTTTAATAGGCTACCTTCTTGGCTTTTGATGGCTTATAAATTACACAGAATATAGCGCACATGTAAGATCGGATTTGGATCGGTACCAGCTGGCCGATACCCGATCCAGCAAAAATATGTGGTATTGAACCGATATCCGATGCAAGTATCGATATCGATGAATCCCTAGAAAAATCTGACATTGCGATGTTTAGTTTTTCTGCGATATATATTCAGGGCTTGCAAAATCCTTAGGCTTTTTCTAGTTGGGCTACTGGATGTCAAAATCCTTCTCCACCTGCCCGAAAGGGTAGTGAAAGTAAAAATAAATTTCAATGCGTTTACATTTACTATATTTTATTACAAATTACATTTACTACAAATTTGATAATTATATATGTGCTGTGCTGCTAATACAGCAGCAATAGATCCACTTGTTTACTTGAGAAAAGCCACAATATAAACAATTGCCTCTCAAATAGCTTGCGCGCTACTGAAGCACACAAACACTCGTCACTCACACAGAGATCACACTGACACAAAGATTCAGATACAGAAATAGCCTGAGCTAAGCTTAAAATTTAATAATCATACGTGTTATATTTATTATCACTTTTACCTGTCTATAGCAGCATAAACTTAACATCCCGCACAGATGGTTAATTTCCTCAGCACCAAGGAATGACTTTTAAAACATTCTGGGACGATTAAAAAAATAACAAATATACATTCAATTCTTACTTTAGAACTGTAGAGTTTAACACGACATGTCTTTCTTTGGTTCGTAAACAAGCAGTTTCACGTCATCATGTTCACATCATGAGGCCTGTCTAAGCTATGCGAAATCTAAAATATCATATCTTTATGCAGTTACTCAATATTAAGATCAAGATACGTTAGTTAGTCAGTCAGACTATAAAGAAATAACTGTTCAATTAAGTGTTTAAATGATATGAGTGTGCGCGTCTAGATAGAATACCGCTAATGATATCTTTTTATTTTATTTTATTTTTTTGTAAATGTATGTTTTTGTTTTAATTTAACGAATAATGTATTTTCTCTTTGGGCCACTTAAATTTATATTCAGGATACCAAAAACTAAAGAGTGCCTGTCCGAGGGCTACCAGGAATTGTAAAGTTTTGCAAGCCCTGATATTGCAATATACTGTGTTATACTTGGAAATAGTTTTTGGTCACACTTCATTTTAAGGTGCAGTTCCTGCGCTAAGCCAACCATTGTGACTTTTGTAACTAGTAATTGCTCCTTATTAATAGTTATTATGGGTAAAATTAGGGATGTAGAATAAAATCATACAGAACATGTGCTTTATAAGTACTAATAAGCAGCCAATGTCTTAATAACGCATGCTAATAAGCAAGTAGTTAATAGTGAGAATTGGTCCATAAAGTGGAACCGAATGTATTAAATTTGATTGATTCTGTAGGGGAGTGAACCATGCATAACATGTAATAAACAAACTACAAGCGTAAATAAATGCAACAAAGCAAAGATAAAAGTGAAATAAATGGTGCACGCATTATAGTTTTGTATATTTAAAAATGACACTGCAAAGTCAACTCAACATTGCATATCTTTGCGATGTGACTATTGCGGATGCATGCATTGCAATATCGATGCTGAAACAATATATTGTGCAGCCCTAGTAAAGTTGGTTTTATATTCAGACATTCGGACATTCTCCTTAATGATATATACTCCAAAAAGTATTCTTGCTAATTCTAAATAGGGAAATCATATTAGCAGCTAATGACTGACAACGTCAATCAAACAGTGCTAATGTTGTTTTGAAGTCATACTTGGATGCCATTTCAGATAATGTAGCTATTGATGTCTTGTTATGCCTTATTCACACTAGTAGCGACTTTGTAGCTGCCTGTCGCTCTGGGTGGCGACCTGCTGCAAACGCAGGTCAGTTTAGGTCTACAGTACAGAGAATACAACTGGTCTCTGAGCTAGCTGAGTGAAGATCACGTGAGCTCTACTGGTGCTTCTATTGGCTGTTGCTAAAAAAAAAAAATCGCTCTTCATTTGCGTAAAGTTGAAGGATTCTTAACTTTGCCACAACGCTTGACACGCCCACCTTGTCGCCAATGGTCGTTTGTCGCCTTGCCGCTGCGATTCGCTTGTAGTGTGAATGATGATTAAGACTTGCATTGCTGTACTATTTTTATTGTTTGTTTTGGGTGCATTAATTGCAACCAAATAAATGGACAGAGTCATCTTACACTTAAGCAAAATGTGTTTTGTTTTATGAAAAGGCCACGGTCAACCTGAGGTTGTGTCATATCTTTAGATGATTTAGCATTAGCAGCATTTACATGTGTCAGTATTTAATAATTCAGTTTGTTTTGGTAATAGATATTCACAATATTGTGATCACAATCAAAACACACTTTAGCTGCCTTTTTTCATTCTTTCTAATAGAAAAATGTTTGACACTGCATGTATTCGAAATTGGATGTAACATGCAATAAAAGATAAAAATATGTCAAAGTGCTTGTCTACCGACAACACAATTATTTATAAAATGTAATTAACATAGGTTTTGACTATATGTAACATGCTGTTATTTATAAATGATGAAAATAGTTTTAAAGAGGGCGACACTGAATCTTTTCAACCTCTTTTTGTACAGTAATTGATTAAAATACAGAGACATGATAAATGGTTAAATAATTGTGAACTTATGAGAAAGTGATGATTATTACTATATAAACCTATATGTATATTAGGCATGGGCTGTTATAAGATTCTGAGGATATGATAACCTTGGATAAAAACATCATGGTTTCACAGTATTGTTATTACTACTTTAATTTATGCATTTTTATGTCTGGATAAAAAAGAAAGAAAAAATGTTCCCCTTTGAACACAATATATTTTATTTTTAGGAACATTTAAAATAATTTGTAGCACTAAAGATATCAGGCTGAATAATTAAAACGAATCATTGACTTCTGCTCTCTTCATTAGTTTTAAAAACACAGATTTCTTTACAATTTAAAACGGCATCTTTGGACATGTTTTCTACTGTTGTCCTAAAAAAACGTTTTTAAAAAAGTCCTACAAATACCTAAGGTAAGCTATAACAGAAAATATCGGTGGTTTTAAAACCTAAAAACCACGGCATATCTCAAAACAGTTATTATCCCATGCTTAATCCCTTTATAATAATCCCTAGTCCCTTTATTAATCCAGGGTCGCCACAGCGGAATGAACCGCCAACTTATCCAGCATGTTTTTATGCAGTGAATACCCTTCCAGGCGCAACCCATCTCTGGGAAACATTCACACACTCATACACTAGGGACAACTTAGCCTACCCAATTCACCTGTACCACATGTCTTTGGACTGTGGGGGAAACCGGAGCACCCGGAGGAAACCCACATGAATGCAGGGAGAACATGCAAACTCCACACAGAAACGCCAACTGCCAACCAACAATATATATCTTCTTCTTCTTTGGCCTTAGTCCCGTATGGCTGCGGGGTTGGCTCTTTGGACCAAGTCCTCCATTTAAATTTGTCCATATGATAACTTTTTTTTACACATTCCGGCCGGCCTGTCGTCTGGGCCTGTCACCCTCATATACTCATACACTAGGGACAATTTAGAAATTTAGATTTAGAGAGAAAGAGAGAGCTTTCATTTTCTCCCCAACAGTGAAATAGTGTCTCCTGGTTCTGCTCTACTTTCACTGAAAGTCTTTTTAGCAAACTTAAATGCATTGAACTGTGCACAGATGTCTGCTTTTTAAGTAGTTGGAGCATTTTGCTTACTCTCCCTCGGCTCGTTCAAAATAGTATTCTCCCATGACATAGTGCACATGAGATAAATGACATCAGTTGGTAATAACCGGTGATGATCTACTAATGAACTAATACCGAATTGTCCATGTCTGCATCGCGGTGCACTGAAGAAACAATTAATTTTGACACCCCTACCATTTGGTTTGGCTTTTTTGCTAGATCAAACACTAGTATTAATGTTTCTAATTGAGTAACTACGTTAATCACTGGCTGTCTAATATTAAGGAAAACAGTGATGTGGTATGCAATGGATAATAATGGAATATTAAATATGGAATAATATAACCAGCATGTATGCATCACATTAGGGAATAGAAAGCATCACTACAACTTCTGAACATGAAATACATGTCAAGTCATTTCTTTGTCTGTTGCATAAAAACAAACCAGACATTTGTAAAATGTAAACAAACAAAAATAATTAAGATAAAAATCAGCACCACTTATTGTTTTACTGGTATAGAAATAAATCAACCAGTAATCATGAAGAACAAGGAAAACACAAACACTTGAAACAATGGAGAGTGGAGTGGATGCTTATTGATTTCTGAACATGACTTGATTGCTTGATCATATTTTAGCATCCATACTAAAATATTACAGAATTATAGATGAGAAAATCAGCATGTCCACCAGGGCTGCACGATTAATCCATAAAAGATCACGATCTCGATTCGACTCTACACACGGTCTTAATTAAGCTTTTCTATGATTCAGCTAATTATATTTTCAAGGTCATGAGAGAAGCAAGGCAGTCACACAAGTCTTTACAGCCACATTGACACCTTCAAATGGTTTTAAAAGTGGCACATACTGTATTTATAACTTATATTTCACCCAAAAATGTCATTTTTGTCTTCATGTAATGATTTTTTATTCGCGGCCGCAAAATCACACGTGAGCTGACCACCAGCTGTTTGTTTACTACCGAGAACGCGCGCATACATGCATGACACTTACTTTAGTGAGAACAACCTGCATATGCTGTGAATCACAGGTAATGAAGTTGTAAATAACGTTCAGTTTGTTGCACAGAGCGATTGTTTGAGGGCCGTGCGGCAGGTTTTATTTGCATGAATGTGTTTTTGAATGAATGTGACAGCAGCCATGAGCCGCACTCAGAAGTGAAAGTGAAACCTGTGCGCACATTTAAATGATCATAACGTATTTTACAGTTATGATTACGACAAGAATTTGATGTTTTTTTCTTTCACAGCAAACACATGATGTTGTGCATGAAAATAAATGACTGTGTCAGTATAATAACCCTAGCCTATATATCATGTTAAATATAATGCAAGAAGGAATCTGATAATGACGAAATTCTAGTTTTGCCAGTGAAAACAAATGGTCTAATAATGCTGTCAATGACAGATAACAAGCACAAGTCTTAAACCAGGGGTCTCAAACTCAATTTACCTGGGGGCCGCAGGAGGCAAAGTCTGGGTGAGGCTGGGCCGCATAAGGGATTTCACAAAAAAAAGTCCTCAAATGTCATTAGTAACAGTTTTAATTATTTCTTCTGAACATGAAGTGTCCTGAACATTAATAGAACACTGAGTGAAGATTATGAACAGTTCTTCTGAACATGGCATCTTTTGCCTACTCCTTGCTGCCAGAGACTTGACAGCGCTTCTTCTCACAAATCTGAACCACATTTGGCTTTAGAGCGGAAGCAGTTGAGACCCTCAGTGTGGCTTGGGGGAACTCACTCAAAACTTCCATTCCCTCACCCACTGCAGAGTGGATGCGCGCGTACTGATCAGCTGTGTTGTCGCGCGCGTACTCAAGAGCTGTGTTGTCGCGCGCCTACTGAAGGGCGGGACCGAAGGTTGTGCCGCGTCGCGGGGGCACTTTTGATCATTTTGGAAGGGCACTTTCTATCCAAGACTAAAAAGGGCATGTGCACTGCACAGGTTGAGCCCTATGTGTGCACGTGCCTGCCCTCACCTAAAAAAAAGGCGTATATATGTATAAATAAAACACCCCCACCCCACTCCAGTCACATCAGTCTGTACCAGTCTGTATCTACCTATAATATATATATAAGATGCAGGCTGTAGCTAGGTAGGTGGCAGGCTGCAGATAGGTAGCTAAGTGGCAGGCAGGGGCGGGAACAGCTTACCTTGGTTCTGGCCGGCGCGAGTTCCCTCCTAACACTTCCCGCCCGTCACAGCGTCTAACACTCCTAACACTTCCCGCCTGTCAGTGTACAGTGGTCGGCGCGGGCCACAAAATATTGCACTGAGGGCCGCAAATGGCCCACGGGCCGCGAGTTTGAGACCCCTGTCTTAAACATAATAAATCAACTTCAGAATTATGAATAGTTGTATTCTGATGTCATAATTTTACTGTGAATTTACAAACAGGACATATTGAAAGTCTTTTCAAGTCCACCATAAAGGCTTATTTATACTTCTGCGTCAATCGCATGCGTATGCTACGGCGCAGCCTACGCGTCGACGCATGACGTGCACCTCTCTCAAACAATGTAATTACACATCGCAGCGACGCGTATCGCAAGCTCTGTGATTGGTCGGCTTGGTATCACTGACGAGTCAGGGCGGGACCGAGAGCCGCGCAAGCAAGCGGCACGAACCCATTGGAGCGATTGTTTACAAGTGTGGAGTCCCGTGAAGGAGCTCCGGATGGAAAGTTTTGTTTTGTGTTTACCTCAAAGTTAAAGTTGTTGCACGTCCGCCAGTTCCTGCCTCAAAATGAGCGAGTTTGAGCCACCTGTACATTTCAGGAAGCGTTCAGAAAAAACAAAACAGCAGTGAAGAAACTCGACACAGAGGAACATTAACACCTCACTGCCCACTAGCTTTTCGGAAGTGTTAATGCAGACCAGAGAGACAGAGACAGCGCGCAGAAATATAAATGCACAGCTACTCGCGTTTCATATGCTGTGGGTTACGCCGGTCACTTGACGGAGAAGTATAAACCAGGCTTAATGACTATACAAAATTTGCCATTTTAAGCAACAGTAGACCTACACATAGGCCTAATATTATAATTGTTGTTTTACCATTGTTTGAGAAAGAACAATAAAAATAGGCTAATCATATTAACCTTTATTTTACATTTACAAAATCATGAGAAAATCGTGATCTCAATATTGAGCAAATAAAAATCCTGATTCACATTTTTGCCAGAATCGTGCAGCCCTAATGTCCACTCTGCTTGGTTTCAGAGATGTGTGTTGACATGTAACTACATTGCATGCAAAAACACTTTAAGGCTCATTTACCTCAAACCATTGCGGTTTGTATATCGCAATATTCACATTTATAATGTTTGATCGTTTCGATATATTGCTTGCTAGCACTAATAAACACTGTTTAGCCACTTTTCAGAATTGCGAATTAAGATGTATGCCATTGATTGAATCATTTTGTGATCCTCAGATGTTGCGTGGAGTCGCTGAAGGACTGTCAGCCCTGGCAAGCTCTTAGTAACACCCGAAGCCATTAATACACCAGCAGAGAGTTTCACAGCAGCCGGACCACTTTAGATTCACTGCCACGTCCTGATATCTTTGAGGGGGAAAAACAGTTCTACAGCACTATGACGTGCCGGGACCGCACACTTGAGTTCCAGTCGGCTTGTAAGTCCCTGCAGGGGAGACAGTTACAGGTATGACCATTTTACACATGTTTTGTGGCTTATAGTGGTTATTGATTGGGAGAAATGGGGTTTTCACAGATTCCTAGAATTATGTTTCTCGTTACGCAGTATCTTTTGTGGAAAAATTGTGTTATGCTTTGAAATAGTTCACCATCACTGGCCCTTTTCCTTCTGTAAGTAACCACAAATTATTCTTGGTAGAATCAATGTGAGCTGCGCTTTTCCACATGTCATAGGTGATGAATATGAAAGGAAATTTAGGTGATGAATTGAAATATATTAGTATTCTAAGATTCTAAGTTCTGAGTTTAATAAGCCCATCTAAAATAAAGACAGATGCCTTGGCAGCATGTGCTAAAAGGGATGGTTCACCCAAAAATTTACCTTTACCCTCTATTTACTCACCCTATACCACAGGGGTGGCCAACGTTGTTCCTGAAGAGCCACCTTCCTGCAGATTTCAGTTGCAACCCATATCAAACACACCTGCCTGTAATTATCACGTGGTGCTCGGGTCCTAATTAATTGGTTCAGGTGTGTTTGATATGGGTAGCAACTGAAGTCTGCAGGAACGTGGCTCTCCTGGAACAGGGTTGGCCACCCCTGCTCAAGTGGTTCCAAACCATTATGAGTTTATATTATGACATATTTTGAAGAAAGCAGAAAACCAGTAACCATTGCATTCAATAATAGGAAAAACAAACACTATGGAAGTCATTGTATACACGTTTCTCACATTTTTCAAAATGCCTTCATTTGTTTTTAAAAGTTACTAGAAACTCTTATAGGTTTGAAACAAGTAAAGGGTGAGTAAATAATGATAGTTTTCAGTTTTGGGTCAACTATACCTTAAAGAGCAACAGAAATTTCCAGAGAAGAAGTTGTATAAGAAAGAGAACTTGTGTATAGAGTCTGCCTAGGGATTGGAATAAAACAGCGTTTTAGAATGAAAACGATACATGTCCACACTGGCGTTTCACCTAGCGATTCTGAACAGCTCTCTGTCCACTCTACACTGCTGAAAACGCACATCACCTGACCACACACATACACTGGCATGTGCTGCAGCGTATGCGTGTGACTGAGCTCCAGGCAGTCAGCGTGCTTTTAACACACCTCAATATTTTTGGTGTCTGTTAAGTTGTTAATATCAAAATGAAAATAGACAGTTTCTTATATCACGTTTTCATTTTATTGTTAAGATAGTGAAACCGTGTAGCCAGGGTGTTGTGAATGAGGTTATAAAGTACACTGATCCCTTTGAAGATTTACCCGACGTGTCCTTCACCATCACTGGCCCTTTTCCTTCTGTAATTAACCACAAATTATTCTTGGTAGAATTAATGTGAGCTGCTCTTTTCCACATGTCATAGGTGATGAACATGAAAGGAAATTTAGGCGATGAATTGAAATATACTAGTATTCTAAGATCTAAGTTCTGATATCGGAGTTAAACAAGCTCATCTAAAATAAAGACAGTTCCTTTGGCAGCATGTGCTAAAAGGGATGGTTCACCCAAAAATTTTACCCCACCCGCTATTTACTCACCCTCGAGTGGTTCCAAACATTTGAGTGGTTCCACGTACTACATTTGCTGGCATAACTTGTCTTAATTTGTTTTTCTGTCTTTTCAGAATGGAACTCACTCTAAACCTGCCAATAATGCCCTTAAACAGCGCAGTGACTTCACTCTCATGGCCAAGTAAGAGACATTCAGATCAATGTTTCTCTTTGGATTTTGCCTAGTGTATTTTTACTTCAGTTCAACTGCGTCTTGTCCTGCTTGAATCTTTGACCCCCTGACATCTGGTGTTGTTTCTTTGTAACAGGAGAATTGGGAAAGACTTGAGCAACACATTTGCTAAGCTTGAAAAGCTTACAATCTGTGAGTAACATATCAGTAAAAAAGTGTACAGTGTAGTTTGTGAAATTAATTAACACAGTACACATATTCTGTGCATGTCCTTCCTTCATTTTTCCTTATAGTCTACAACCCGCACATGTGTTTTGACAAAAAGAATAATAAAGTATATAAAGAAAACTTTGTACTTAACTTATTAAAAATTGGTATTTTAACAAATCTAAAACTTGTATATCAGTTCTTTATGTTGGTTCTTATGCAACTCTCTAAAATGTAAAAAAAAAAAAAAAAAATATATATATATATATATATATATATATATATATATATATATATATATGCTCTCTAAGATTGCATTTGTTTATTTGCAAAATTCAGTAAAATGTACAGTATTTAGCTTTTTGTTTAAATTGGGTGTCATCTGATTAAATAATACGTTTTTTAATTATTGTGAAGCAAAGCTATTATTAATTTAGCACTTACAGAAAGTATTCTTACATACTGATTTGCTGAAAAATAACATTTCTGATCAATGTTGAAAATAGGTTTTTGTGGAAACTTTTTTTAGTATTCATAATACTTAATAGAAAGTATAAAAGAAAGTATTTTAACCAATATTTTGTACTACTATGAATCACTTTACAATCACTGATTCAATTGTATTTAATACGTTATTGTTAAATGTGCGTGCGTATGTTTTTATATATATATATATATATATATATATATATATATGTATGTATGTATGTATGTATGTATGTATGTATGTATGTATGTATGTATGTATGTATGTATGTATGTATGTATGTATGTATGTATGTATGTATGTATGTATGTGTGTATGTATGTATGTGTGTGTGTATGTATGTGTGTATGTGTGTGTGTATGTGTGTGTGTGTGTGTGTGTGTATGTGTTTATATATGTTTATATATATATATATATATATATATATATATATACACACACACACACATATATGTATATGGATGGATGGATGGATGGATGGATGGATGGATGGATGGATGGATGGATGGATGGATAGATAGATAGATAGATAGATAGATAGATAGATAGATAGATAGATAGATAGATAGATAGATAGATAGATAGATAGATAGATAGATAGATAGAGGGTCATTTATATGGATACACCTTAATTAAATGGGAATGGTTGGTAATATTAACATCCTGTTTGTGGCACATTAGTATATGTGAGGGGGCCAGTAAATAACTCATGAAAGAATAAAGTTATGTTAAAACCAAGCACACCATTGTTTTTGCTGTAAAATTTCCCAATAAGTTTAATAAGATGTATCCATATAAATGGCCCACCCCGTATGTATATATGTGTACATGCACTACCTGACAAAAGTCTCGTCGACGATCCCAGTTTTAAGAGCAACAAATAATAACTTGTTTTCTAGTTTGGATCATTTGGAAAAGTGGCAGAAGGTGGATTTTTCAGATGAATCATGTGTTGAACTGCATTCCAATCATCACAAATACTGCATAAGACCTAATTAAACCTGCATGGACCCAAGATTCTCACAGAAATCAGTCAAGTTTGGTTCAGTATGGGGACGTGCGAGAGATCTGCAGAGTGGATGGCAGCATCAACAGTCTGAGGTCCAAGACATTTGCGCTGCCCATTACAAACCACAGGAGAGGGCAAGTTCTTCAGCAGGATAGCGCTCCTTCTCATACTTCAGCCTCCATATCAAATTTCCTAAAAGCAAAGCAGGTCAAGGTGCTCTAGGATAGGCCAGCCCAGTCACCAGACATGAACAATATTGAGAATGTCTAGGGTAAGATGAAGGAGGTGGCATTGAAGATGAATCCTATGAATCTTGATAAACTCTGGGAGTCCTGCAAGAACACTTTCTTTGCCATTCCATATGACTTTATTATTAAGTGATTTGAGTCATTGCAGAGCTGTATGAATGCAGTCCTCCTAGCTCATGGGAGTCATACACAATATTCATTGTTTTTCCACTGCACCATGACTGATACTGTACATTATTTCTGTTAAGTGACAAGACTTTTGTCTAAGCAAAGTCAGACCTTACTGTCCTAATTAAATAATTAAAGATCAAGGCTTCATCATATTATTATTATTATAAAATAAGTGTAATCTAGAGGCCTTTGCTTTTCATGCAAGTCATGTCTGAATCCAAATGATCAACTGGAAGTCAAGTTATTAATTGTTGTTCCTAAAACTAGGATAGGCGACAAGACTTTTGTCAGGTAAGCTATATATATATATATATATATATATATATATATATATATATATATATATATATATATATATATATATATATAAATATAAATTCATTTACCAACAAAAAAAAAATCCAATCTTTGTAATGTTGACCTGTTTGTAATAACCAGATATTGTTGTAACTGTTAGATATTGCATTGTTCATGTCTGCTGTCAATGTAATGTTTTATTCTCCATTCATTTTTAGTGGCCAAAAGGAAGTCTTTGTTTGATGATAAAGCAGTGGAGATTGAGGAGCTAACATACATCATTAAACAGGTTGGTAAAGACTTGTCATTCTCCATATCCAGTGCAATGAAAAACATCTCAGTACCTGCTTGTCCTTACATTGATGTTAAAGATGGCAAGTGTTGATAATTTTGTTTACTAGAATCCTGTATAAGATCAAGCCTCTAGCAGTGATCTGATGCAGTCTCTTTTTTTATCTGTCTGTCCCTCGCATCAGGATATCAACAGTCTGAATAAGCAGATAGCACAGCTGCAAGACCTTGTGCGATCCCGCAGTGGGCAAAATGGCCGCCACATACAGACACATTCCAACACAATTGTCGTCTCATTGCAGGTACACTTTCCTATCTGACATTCCACTCTTTCTGTGTTTATCTTACATTTCCTGCGCTGTAGACAGTAGGGGTGGTGGATCTCGTTTTGCTTGACATCAGATGACTTGACAAGCCGCCACACCTTTCATTTTTCTGACGCAATACAGTTCACCATGTAAACAGTCTTATCTGGGAATGTTTGTGTTGCAGTCTAAGCTGGCATCAATGTCCAATGATTTCAAGTCAGTTCTGGAAGTGAGAACAGAGGTGAGTTTTATGTATTTATCATTTCTTTTTTTTTTCTTTTTGCTTTTTTTTTGTGTGGATTCAATTCATATTTCTGGATTTCTAAGTAGCGGAAGTCGTCATTTGGGTAAACCTAGAGCTCAGTGAATGGTTATTATTTCAACAAACTATTTGTTGAAATAATAAAATAAAGACTCAACAATGGTGTTATCAAAACTTTCAGAATAAGCAAAAAAATTATGTGAGACTGATAACAGCAGCCAGAAGAGAGAACAACGTCAAATTTACTGTTCTGCTCATACACGCTGCATTACAAACGCACAAGAGGTAATTTGATGCAAAGATTAAATAATGCACTACCTGACAAAAGTCTTGTTGTTCATCCCAGTATTAAGAGCAACAAATAATAACTCAACTTCTAGTTGATCTCACAGAAATCAGTCAAGTTTGGTGAAGGAAAAATCATGGTTTGGGGTTACATTCAGTATGGGGGCGTGAGAGATAGCGAGATGTGTGAAAGATCAGCAGGATATCGATCCTTTTCATACTTCAGCCTCTGCATCATGGAGTAAACCATGGCTTTATATTGTATACTGTACATTATTTCTGTTAAGTGACAAGTCTTTTGTTTAAGCAAAGTCGGAACTTACTGTCCTAATTCACTGATTAAAAATCAAAGCATGATCATATTTTATTTTGGTAAATTAAGCGTAATCTAGAGGCCTTTGCATTTTATATAAGCCACTTCTGGTAGAAAATTAACTAGAAGAACTAGAAGTCAAGTTATTATTTCTTGTTCCTAAAACTTGGATAGGCGACAAGACTTTTGTCAGGTTGTGTACATGCGGAAATGCATATAAATGTACTTGCGTATTATAATTTTTTAAAAGTCAAAATATTCCTGTATTTCAGTTTATGATGACCATTATATAGGTCATAACATCCTTGTGAAAAAGGTCCATTGCTAAGTGGCAATTGTAGCACTTAATAATTTAATAATGTCATCATTTCTGTGATGTTTTTTTTTTTATGTTTATTCTGTGCTTTAGTTACACAATACAAAAGTGTTTACAGTGCATCTATACCGCTTTTTACGCTTGAAACCGTTAACCTGTAGTCATCCTACATCCTGGATAAACTGAATCCTGGGTTATCTATAATCAAGTTTCACACTACTCTTAATACACCTGGCTTTAATGAATAATCTGGGGTATTCGTTAACAGACATTTCGCACTAAACAGTCCTAAACACAGTGTCAATGTTTGGTAACACTTTATTTTGATGGTCCATTTTAGTATTAGTAGACTGTCTGCTTAATATCTGTTGATATGCTCCTTCAACAGACATTTAACTGACTATAGGAAACATGGCAAGTACATGTCAACTTACATTAACCCCAACCCCGACCTAACTGTCTACTTATAATCTAATGAGAATCAGTTGGCATGTAGATGCAATGTAACTTAAATTCAACAAACGGAACATCAAAATAAAGTGCGATCCAATGTTTTCATTTGCATTGTCAATGTTGCTGATTAGACGAACAACAGGTAACCTTTTACACGGCGTATGTTAACGTGTCATCAATTACAAAAAAGCAAAGTTTGTCATCTGAACATCTCCTAATCACTCCAGTTTACACGCTTTACATCTTTTAATATTACTTGCTTTTTTCTCACTGACTGCTGGTTACATGATGCTCATTTCTTGTTATTGGTTCGACATGACCTCGGGGCCTGTACCATGAAGATGGATTAGTTTGCTAACCAACTAAGCGATGCACCAGTCTTGGGTTTTAGGTAACATAAAGGCAGCTTGACTCAAATAAATCTTTGGTATTATGGAGCAGCTGAGCTACCTTTGTTATGTTCATGGTGTCATTTAAACAGAAGCATAACTGGCTATCCAGCTAATCTAGCTTCATAGTGCAGTCCCCAGGAGTTAAAAGTGGTGGTTAGAATGATGATAACCAGGGCGAGGCACAGTGTAAAAGAAGCCTTATGGTTAGTTTTGACAATTCTTGTCGCCATTTTTGAAAAGCATTTTTAACTCAATAAAAGATTAATAGGGAACATGACTTCACAAACTAGATGTCCATTTGCTTTTTCACAATGAACTTTTAGATTTCAAATTGGAGGCAGCCAATGCACTTTAATTATGATCAATGTGAAGATGCCAAAAACAATAGAAAGCAAAAAACGGGGCAGACTGACTAAAAACGAAAAAAATAAAACTTTGACCGATTTATCTCTTATCATTGTCCTCATGTTTGTTTTAGCTTTCAGGCAAGCTGTATTCTGTTGTATACTACTTGAATTTAATGAGTGAATTATTATAATGTTTTTTTTTTCTTCTTTTTCTTCAGAATCTGAAGCAGCAGCGCAGCAGAAGAGAGCATTTCTCTCAGGCTCCTGTCTCTGCCTCTCCTTTACTCGCCAATAACTTCAGTACGTCTTTTCCTCAGTACTGTCATGTTCGTTTTTTTCTGTTGTTATTAGGTTTGACCTTTTTTTCTTTTTTTAATTTTTGTTAGTTCAGATTTAAACTTGACTTTTTTAAACATAAGCCTATTTTGCAACTCTCCTAGGGCTCTATTTTGATGATCCAAGCACAAAGTCTAAAGCGCATGGTGTGTCCGAACCCACATTTTGCTATTTTAAGGTCGAAAAAATATGTTTTGCGCCCCAGTGCATGGTCTAACAGGGTTGAGCTTATTCTCTTAATTAGTTATGGGTGTGTTTTGAGCATATTGTGCATTAAACCAATCAGAGTCTCATCTTGCATTACATTTAAGAGTCATGCCATGGTGCATTTGCGATTTACATAGCGGACTTTGTGAAAGAAAAAACTGAATGCTTCCCTTAAATGCAGTAAGGATAAAACATGAGTCTCCTCCATTCAACCTCTTTACTTTTACTCTTACTTTACTTTCGTGGATAAGGAAACGGTGTTGTACGCACTCCACTTAAGACATCCATCAGCCTACATTTTTAATTTAGTTTTTTAAGCACAAAAATTGGTTTCAAAAGTTTTTCTAAATTCAGTTTTGATTTCCAGCAAATGAATAAATGAACAAGAATAACGAAATGTGGTCAAAAACTCTATTCAAACACACATTCTGTTCTTATTCTTCATATACCATTCAGTTTCCTCAAAATAGCAACATGTCGATAAGGCATCCTGACTCGCATCTATTTTAGACCACCACATCCTTGATGCAGGAAATGGATTTGCTATTTAGACAACGTGGCACAAAATGTGAACATTAGCATGGTGCTGGTCTGGAAATAGCAACAAATCGCGGCAAACACGTCTTGCGCCTAATTGCGCCATGTCTGTGACAGGCCCTGTAGAGTTAAACAGTTGAATATGACATTTATTTTTTTACCGATTTCTGTGTCTGGCAAGAGCACTTTTAGCTTAGCTTAGCATAAGTCATTGAATCGGATTAGACCATTAGCATCACGTTAAAAAATGACCAAAGATGATATACAGTCATTTTCCTAAAACTCAACTCTTCTGTAGTTACATCGTGTACCAAGACCAACCAAAAATGAAAGGTTGCTATTTTCTAGGCCAATATAGAGCGTAGGAACTATCTTCTTTCTGATAATCATTGAACTTTCTGCTGTACCATGGCTGAAGCAGGCACAACGATATCACGCAATGCCTTGTTAGTTAATATTTTTGTTTAAATACTTTCTTTGTCACCAGCAGAAAATCCTTCAAATGTTCTTACTTTAAATTTTTCATCATGTTAAATCATTTACGGTTGTGGCTCTTCCAGACAGCTCAGTTCTGATGCAGGATGAGTCCAGGAGTCTGGGAGCAGAAGTGGCCATCGACATGGACTCGAGGGCAAACCCTCTGCAGCTGCAGCTCATCGATGAACAGGTATCCGTCTCTTATATCAAGCGCAGTTGGAATTAGTCTGGATTGCAGACTCTGGTTTGCATGTATGATAAATGTTCAATGTCTGATTTCATTATCAAATTTCCCTTTATTGTGTTTGTGCAGGACTCGTATATCCAGAGCCGAGCGGACACCATGCAGAACATCGAGAGCACAATCGTGGAGTTGGGCTCCATCTTTCAGCAGCTGGCACACATGGTCAAAGAGCAGGAGGAGACGATTCAAAGGTCACACACACACACACACACACACACACACACACAGGCAGTCCACATAACAGCTAAATGTAGCTATACATTCTGAGCAATTTGACAATCATGTTTATCAAATTAAAATGAGCTTTTTAAAGGTATAATAGTTCACCCAACTCTTAAAAGTGTTGTTATCCTTATCTTGTCACAAACCTCTTCAAGTTTTTCTTTCTGTTGAACACAAAAGAAGATATTTTGAACAATGTTGGAAACTGGTAACCATTGACTTCTATAGTATTTGTTTTTTTTTTCCCCCGTTTTCTTTTATGGAAGTCAATGATTACCAGTTTCCAACATTGTTCAAAATATCTTGTGTTCAACAAAATAAATGAAATTTGTGACGGTTTGCAACAACTTGAGGGAAAGTAAATTAAACTTACACGTTTATGTAAACTGGTAAAACTTCAGTTTGAGATTAGATCTTTTTAAGATTATTTTTCTTATCCAATTCACAAATAATTTAACTTGTTTTAAGCAAACAATCACTTAATTTTGAGGTGTTTTTTTTTTTTTTTTTTTAAGAAAACAAGACCTCAGCTGCGTCCCAAATGGCACACTATACACTATGCACTCATGCACTATGTACTTATGCACTTACGCACTCAACTGGATAGTATATGTATGTAGTGGCGTCCCAAATGACACACTAATGTTTTTTACTAAGCGGAAATTCAAACCGTTTCCCTGATGACATTTGACGGTTGCCAAATCAGTGAAATAAACAACCGAATTATCAAATATACCTGCCGTGAGTACTGCTGCATTCACCATCAGGAGGCGCTATAATCACTCTCGTAGGAGAATTTTGCTTTCACCATCCAAAATAAATAAAGTTATTCAACATGTGCTCCGCCCCTTCCACTACTTAAGCAAACCTGCGGTCGTTGAGTGCGTGAAGTGTCCATCATTCCACGCTTCATTTTAGCGGCTGAATGAGTGCATCATCCGGGTAATTAAGTGCACCTATTATTTTTAGAGTTTTCAGTGTGAACACACTACTTACACTATTTATACTACAAAATGGCGTAGAATAGTGCATAAGTATGCGATTTGGGACGCAACTATAATTTCTTATGCTATTTCATGTGTCTAGTATGTATCTTGACTTAAATATTTAGATTTTTGGATTGAAAACAGGAAAAAACTACTTCGTTTTATCATTATTATTATTATAACAGCTCAGGGATGAGCTTTTTTAAATAAACTAACTTAGAAATTAATGCACTTTTTTTTTTATCAGATTCATCGATTAATCGAAAAAATAATGTACACATTAATCGATTATTAAAATAATTGTTAGTTTCAGCCTTAATTAAAATGACAATAATATCGTTTATCGTAATGTATTTTGGTGCAATATATCGTACAACAACAAAAAAATAGATATTATGACAGGGATATAGCTGAGGTATTGTCAGATGCTGTAAAAATCATGATGTATTCATTATTCGTCTACAGGATCGACGCTAACGTGGACGACACAGAGCTGAACGTGGAAATGGCCCACGGCGAGATCCTCAAGTACTTCCAGTCCGTCTCCTCCAACCGCTGGCTCATGATCAAGATATTCCTGGTACTCATCGTCTTCTTCGTCATCTTCGTGGTCTTCCTCGCTTGAGGTGGAACGACCTCAACTGTAAGAAGGGCTGCAAACAGAGCCAAAGGGTTTGAAGGAGGGAAGGAGCAGGCGATGGACTTATGGGCGAACGTGCAAAAAAACACAAACTCAAATGGACCGGGCCACAGAGACTCTGGCTCTCGGGATAGGGGGGATGGGTTGGGATGGGGTAACGATGCTCATTAATAGAAATGCTTTTAGTCCGAGGGACTGGACTCAGTTGTAGATTTCTGTCCCATTCTGGATGATGATGAAGGTGGAACTGAGATTTACTGTGTGTTTAGATGGAGAGGAGAGTGTTTGATTTCACTCTGTTCTCTTTAAGCTTCATCTGCATTAATACTTGAGCCTTCGTTTCTTATTAATCATCACATATTAAACGAGAAGGCTTTTTTTTCCCCAAGTGGTTTGATTCTCCAAACTGGTTTAGTTTTTTTTTTTTTCTCTTGGACAGTGTTATTCGTAATCCCACGGTAACATTTTTTATGGTAAATTCAGTGAGATCTGATTCTTTTCAGTAGATATTCCTGATGATATTAATAATACTCCTGGTAATTAATTTAAATTAATCAGTTTTTATATAAAAAACAGGTGATTATTACACACTTAAGGGTGAATCTTGAAGTATCAGAATCATTTTTTACTCCCAACAATTGAAAGGAGCTATTGTTAATTGTGTTTATGTAATTATATTTTTGATACATAAAAATGATGTCTATTTCAGGACTGTTACAGCACTTTTTTCATGTAATTAAAGGGACAGTTCACCAAAAAAAGAACTATATAATATTATTTATTTACCCTTAAATTATCTCTTTTGAGCGAACCATCCCTTTAATGTGAAAAAAAAATACATGAATGTAATTTACCTTATTGTATCTCACGTCATGTAAAAATGTATATTAATAACAGCATAACTTCATTACAATGATAAATTTTCACTTCATAAATGTACAAACACATTTGTACAGATACATATGTAAAATATAGGTTTGTTTGGGAATTGGGGCATAAATTATTAAAGATTAGTGGGGATTAAATATATTTAATTTGAATTTTTGGTGGGTGGAGGAGTGAAATATGAGTCTGAGCCTTCCTTACAGTTTCTCCCTTCAAGTGTTGAAGGGATAGTTCACCCAAAAAACGAAAGTTCTGTCATTTATTTACTCACCAATTACTTGTTTCAATCCTTTAAGAGTTTCCTCTGTTAAACAAGCAAGAAGATATTTTGAAGAATGCTGGAAACCTGTAACCATTAACTTCAATAGCAGGGGTGGCCAACCCTGTTCCTGGAGAGCCACCTTCCTGCAGATTTCAGTTGCAACCCATATCAAACACACCTGCCTGTAATTATCACGTAGTGTTCAGGTCCTAATTAATTGATTCAGGTGTGTTTGATATGGGTAGCAACTGAAATCTGCTGGAAGGTGGCTCTTCTGGAACAGGGTTGGCCACCCCTGTCCTATAGTGTTTGTTTTTCTACAGTGGATGTCAATGGTTACCGGTTTCTAACATTCTCCAAAATATCTTCTTTCGTGTTCAACAGAAGAAACTCATAAAGGTTTGCAGCCACTTCAGGTAAGAGCAAATAAGTAGTAAATTTTCCATTTTGAGGTGAACTGTGCTTTTAAATCCCTGTGAATATGGGCTCTAATATGACATATTACCGAGACTTTCAGTTTCTTTATTTTTGTATTATTTGAGTTTAATTCTGCCAAATACACAAGGAGTTTTTGCCTGGTCTTATGAATTTGCTCTGCGCAGGAATAAGCAAATGAAGACCAGCGTTTTTATACGTACTTTAAAACGACACACACTGCAGTTTAAAGAGCCCAAAGAGACTCCAGATGGTTCAGGCTGCTCATTTCATCACTTCAGGATTGGTTTCATTCCAGGTCAGTGCAAAATAAAAAGCCACGTGGTGTGTTTTATATTGTGGAGCTGAAGGTCAGGTAATGAATGAGATCTGTACTGTAATCGATGAGCAGTGTGTGTTCTTTATTTTGGAGGAGCAGCTTTGGAGAAATATGGGAAGATCTGCTCCTACTTGCTGCGATGCTGTGAATGAAACTGGAGGATATGGAAAAGATGAAGCCATGGGTCAAACTCTTTAATTTGGTAAATCACAGACTTCCACACACGCTCAAATCAATCTCATGAACGATGTACAGTGTATTATTTAATGAGCACTTTTTATGAAGACTCCTGTTTCCAGGCCTTTTCTTTTTTTAGCTGAATGGTCTGCATCTCTTGTATGAACTCAACACTGTTGTAATGTAAGAACAAACAGTACATATTAAAACACTTCTGAGAAACGGATTGCGGCTAACGTTGATTTTGTTGCTGTGACAGTCAAGCCTTTATGGAGTGAATCAAAAAAAATTATCCCAGTTAATGCAGGTATTAGAAAAATAAATTATATCTTGATATACACCACCTGACAAAAGTCTTGTTGCCTATCTAAGTTTTAGAAAGAACAAATAATTACTCGACTTCTAGTGGATCGTTTGGTATCAGTAGGGGCTTATATGAAAGGTAAAAGCCTCTAGATTACACTTATTTTACCAAAATAATATGATCATGCCTTGAATTTTAATTATTTAATTAGGATAGAAAAGTCTGACTTTGGTTAAAATCTTGTCACTTAATAGAAATAATGTACAGTATAGAATATAAAGTCATGCTGCAGTGGGAAAAGAATTAATATTGAGTATGACTCCCATGGACTGCATCCATACATCTCTGCAATGACCCAAAAAACGTATTAACAAAGTCATCTGGAATGGCAAAGAAAGCGTTCTTGCAGGACTCCCAGAGTTCATCAAGATTCTTTGGATTCTTCTTCAATGCTTCCTCCAGCTTAGCCCAGACATGCTCAATAACATTCATATCTGCTGACTGGGCTGGCCAATACCGGAGCACCTTGACCTTCTTTGCTTTCAGGAACTTTGATGTGGAGGCTGAAGTATGAGAAGGAGCGCTATCCTGCTGAAGAATTTGCCTCCTTATGTGGTTTATAATGTAATGGGCAACACAAATGTCTTGACACCTCAGGCTGTTGATGTTGCCATCCACTCTGCAGATCTCTCGCACATCCCCATACTGAATGTAACTCCAAACCATGATTTTATCTTCACCAAACTTGACTGATTTCTTTGAGAATCTTGGGTCCATGCGGGTTCCAATAGGTCTTCTGCAGTATTTGTGATGATTTGGATGCAGTTGATTCATCTGAAAAAATCTACCTTCTGCCACTTTACCAAATGATTGATGAAGTCGAGTTATTAATTTTTGTTTTCACAACTGATTGACGACAAGTCTTTTGCCATGTTGTGTAAACATTTCAGCTTGAGAGGCTGTTTTTATATAATATTGTGAAATGATACAAATAAAATATTGCATGTAATTTTCACAGTTGGTGCTGTACAGTTAGCCGAGTGGTTAAGTAACAACTTGAATATCTAAATATTTTATTGTAATAAAAAGTAACGCCTTTTTAATGTAACAAATTGATTTTATTTATGTACACACAATTTTTTCTTCTCCTTAAACGAATATGTTTATTATGGTGAAATAGTAAATATAAAATGTGATTTCTTTTTTTAATGCATATATAATGGGCTATATGCAGAGCTAGTTTTTTTTCAGCCAATGATGGACTTCTGGTGAAAGGTTAATGTGACTATTTTTAATTTCATAAGGTTCCTTTTACAGCATAGATGTTGTAATATAATTAAAATATAATAATTTAAATACACTTAAGCATCCATTCAGTTGTTATAGCTTAAAAAGAGATGAAAATCCGTTCAAACCCAGGCGCCATCATTAGCAGCAGGCTAGCATAGAAATTGATTCCATTGAAAATACTGGGGTAAAATGAGTTTGCATTTTTTAAAGACATGGCGCCGAAATATATAATTTAATTTTGTGCTTCTTGTTTGGTCTGATAGCCACTTTATATCGTATCTCAGCCAGGCAGTGATGATTGCAGCTTTTTAAAGACATCAGATCTTAAACTCGGTAGAATTCAGTTCAAGGTTTTACTTATTGTTTTTAAAGCACTGAACAGGCAAGCATCTTCTTATATATCAGAGTTTATTAACCTAGTCAACTCCTCGGTCTCTTAGATCGTCAAATAAAATTCTACTACAAATTCCTTCGTCACGACTTAAACTGAAAGGAGATAGAGCCTTTGCAGTCGCTGCTCCACGTTTGTGGAACCAGCTGCCACCAGACATTACGAGTGCTATTTTTAATTCTAGACTTAAGAAACATTTTATTAAATTGCCTTTCCAGGCTTTTAATCCTTATTGTGCATTGTTGTTGCAATAGTATTATTCTTATTATTTCTTTTATTGTAATTTTACTGTTTTAGAATGTATGCTATGATTTTGTTTAGCACTTTGATCAGTGCCACACTGAAGTTAAATGTGCTTTATAAATAAACTTTACTTACTTAAACTCTGCAATAATGTATGTGATAACAGTTTACCGGAAGCCCTGGGGCTGGCTGACTAAAATTAAAAGTCTGTGTGCATATACCCCAATGGATATGACTTAAAAGTAAAATATACAGGTTTTAATTAAAAAAAAATTTTTATTATTGTTATTCTACTTTTTCAGGGAAAATTCTATATTTTCAAAAGGGTAAAAAATAAAAATATGAAGTAAAATTAATCTTGTTTTTATCCGTGTGCTTTAATATTTGAAAATATATGTTTTTACATTTGTTTTTAGAATGCAGTTAATTTGGTGAAAGAATGAGAGTAAAATACTGAATAAAATGTATTTTTTTTTATTTGCAGTATAATTAACACTTGTGCGTTTTTTAAAACAATACTGAATTGTTTCCCTTAATTTAAATGTGCAACATAATCCTATGCTTATGAATATATGTATATTCCAAGTATTTACAAATTGTATATTCTTTTGATATGGGGGTGAAACATGAGCTGAACATGCTCTTGGTTGTGTGCGCTTCATTCTTACAAAAAGTATTTACATTTATGCCAAATGTTCATATCTAAACATTCAAATTATTGACGCACATTATGTAGTTTTAAAAAGGACTAGGCTGTAGGCATCTTCCATATGCCAATACACTGTGTTCTTTGGTATGAATAATTTAGTCATACAGTCTGAAAGCACAATCTTGAGTCTTTTAGATGTTTCCTCTTCTCTTTTCTCTCTCCATTGCCGTTGTACATTTCTCCTGTATCTTCTCTCCTTTGTGTTTGAGGTGTTCAGCTCTGCGCCGCCTGCTCCAGCGGGGTGATCTCCGGCATGCTAAGGCTCCGTCCTTTCCGAGTGCGGATGGCTTTTGCCACCTGTTCGGCCGCTTCCTCTTCCTCTTCATCAGACCATGTGTTTTCCTCCTGCAGGTTGTTTCGTGATCCGC